GTTGGGGAAGTTTTTGAATTTTTTTTTTTTTTGGGGGGGGGGGGGTAACTGGGGTTTCAAAATTCCACCCGTCTCCTTTTTGCAGTCTGATTTTAATAAAAATTGCTCACGCTAACCTTGGGCGAGATGGCCCAAGTGGTTAGAGCGCGGATTTACTGACCGGAAGGTTCGTGGTTCGAATCCGACCTCCGCCACTCGACTTCCCCTGTCTAGACTTGGGCAACCTGGCAGTATCCTAGCCCTCGTGCTTCTTTCGGGTCGCATGGCAGCTAGGCACCGGAAGGGTGCTACAGCTGAACACTAACCTCTTGTATTCGGGAATTTTCGTCTAACATGGATAACCACAGCTAATGCTTCACCCCAACAACTGACTACGTCTGTCATTGGTTTATCCACTGAACGCATTAAATTCTTTTTGATCTGACTGGTAAATGAAATATAGCACTGTCCCTATTTGGTTTATGTCTTTTTATTCTTCCTCCTTGTTCGTTGCACCTGAAAGGCAATATCGGAAGAAAATTTGTTTATCGGTAAAAACTCAAAATCGTCCATGCCATGCCACACGAAGGAGGCACGAGGGTGGGATACTGCCAGGTTGCCCAAGCCTAGACAGAGGAAGTCGAGTGGCAGAGGTCGGGTTCGAACCACGGACCTTCCGGTCAGTAAATTCGCGCTCTAACCACTTGGTCCATCTCGCCCCTGTTTATCGGTAACAGTAACCCCGCTTACTCCATTAGCTAGCTATGTTAATGTGCACAAGAAATAATGACTTTCGTAAATCGGACTACTACCCACATCTTAGTAAAACGCTTCAATCGTCTCTTCATTTTTGTCTGCAGGTTATCCACTGTTCGTGCTATTCTCATCAGCATATTTTGCACGTTCTTCCCCTTCCTGGATTTACCGGTGTTTTGGCCCATACTGGTTCTCTACTTCATTATGCTTTTTACGCTGATGATGAAACGGCAAATAAAGGTGAGTTATTCTTCGTGTATATATCTCCCTAGTTTATTAGGTTGGCGGACACTTGCTTTCCCTAGGCCATGTTGTGTGTGTGTGTAAATCCGGTATTACATTCGCTCTGGCAGCAATATTTTATGTTAAGGTTGAGTTCTCGTTCATCTCACCTTATTACTATTGCTGCCCAGTCGATTGTAGCGTAACCGATCCAAATAAGGAAAGATGTGTTCGAATCTCTGAAAAGCCTTTCGCACTCTTACTTGGATGTATCAGGTGGGCGTACAGAACCGTTCCCGTCGGTTTTGTTCTATCTTGTGTGAAATTTTGTTACCTTAGACTTCGAAGTCCCTTTGTCCTCCTTTCCCGAGCGAGGGAAAGTGCCAAATTTTCCTCCTAAGTTCGATAATGATGACCTATTCCAAACGTTCTCCGACAATCGAAACCTCCATTCTGTTATGTCCGGTTTCCCCCCTCCCACATGATTTTGATGCCAGCAATATTATTCGTATCTACTCGGTTATTGTACTTATGTGTTGTGGTTAGTGTGAATGACCCTAATAAGCGGTTACGGAGTTTTATGGGCTCAAATGCATCTGCCAGAATGTCGCCTGTTTTTATGCTTCCTTAGACTTCTTCATTAGGGGGTCTATGTTTCACATTTCCGAAGTTTCATTACAGGTAGGGTTTCAGAATGGAAACTTTTGTGCAACGTAAACTTGATCGCGGTACCGCACCACTGAAATTTCTATGTTGTTTGTCCTCATCTAAGTGCTCGACTAGAAACAGACAAACACCAAACTACTGGTTTCTCGTTTATAGAAGTGTAGTATTGCCGTCAGTTAGATCCCCTTCACTGTGGCTGCGATCGGTTGATCGTTCGTCTATAATCTGCGCATCAGGTTTGCCTGTGTTAGAAAATCGCTGTTCCCGTTTACTCAAAACCGGTGGCCACGTTTTGGGACTGGATTTGTTACCATTCTTGACACAAAATTATCTTCAGTCTACGAGGGGGCTTTGGCTGATGAAACATCGATGAAACGTCTTTGGACAGCGGAATGTGTGGTGTGGCAATTTGTTTTTTTTTTTGTGGCGAGGCAGGGTATTCAAAAGTCAGGTTAATCTCTATTGGCTACCCTCGATGCAAGGTTTTGATACTGAATGTTCCTTTCAATAAAGGGTGGTTTCATGGCTTGTCCCTAATCCAGCAAATCCTGGGACGTACCAATATGCACGAGCTCAACGCGGTTTGTGCAGTTTTTCTCGTCAACACTCATTTGGCTAGTAATCCAACATAATCGCCCAGTTCATCAGATAATCAGGTTGTGCCAAATACAATATTTCCTTCAAAGGCTAAAAGATAATCACTTGGCTCAGTCAAAAGGACCGTACACAACACAACCTAACGGGTGTGATTCTATAGGCGATTATCTCCTTTTTCACTTTTAGCAGTCACAGACAGCGCTTCTTTTATCTGCCCTCAAATGCACAGGTTTCATCACACTTGATAGATCGGTGGTGGTAGCTGATGCTAGATGACTGCTTTCAAGGTGAACGAGATATTGATTGTAACCATTTGTGCTTGATTCCTGTGTGACGGATGATTGACTGACTGACCGGTTGATGTCGACTTTGGCAGTTGTGCTCGAGTTGTAATTTTTGATGATAAGTTGCACAGCATGTGTCATTTCAACGTAGTATTGCCTTACGTATAGATCCTCAATTGGGCCTAGTACGATTGCTAGCCTATTCAGCACTTCGTTTTTATTGGTTCTGTTCTGTATTTGGGTAATTACGGACAGAACATAGAAAGCGGACTTTCCTACAGTCGGTTGCGCAGTTTGTGGACGCTAGCTTGTCACCAACAGCAATTTACCACCCTATCGGCTGGTACCTCCTATCAACAATGGGAATTGTCACCTAGGTAGCCGAAATGTCGTTCCCATGTTCGCTTGGTCGGATATCACTTTATTTTTCGGCAACTAGCTCTTTACTTCCATTAGGACCAGGATCTCGCAAACAACACTTGGAATTCAAAGGATTATTACTGTGTGCACATTGTACCCCCTTTCAACTTGCAAATTTGCAGACTAGTAGGTTGCACATCCCGATTCCCGGCTTTTGGACATCTCTCTAGGGGTGCTTAATATTGCTTATTGATCTGCACCTGGTGAAAACGTTTGGAATCAGAGTGCAGTGAGTGGTGATAGCTTCTTCGCTCTGTCTGCAGTGGACAGTGATTTTCAACGGTTCTTACAATCTACTGATTGTGTCGTTGTGTGATCTGGTCCACGTGTTCCTAACATCAGATGTTGTCGCGCCCCGGTAAGTGTGGCCGCAGGAATCTCGGTTAAGACTTAACTTCTACTTATATGTTTGCGGTGAGTTTGTCAGCTAGGATAAAAGTGGCATTATCGCTCGGGTTTCCGTTCGGTGTCCGGCTGGATAGGCTAGATTTCGACTTCATATCTGCGTTGGAGTCGAGTGTTTAGAAAAATATTGGTCGTTCAAGTTGTGCAGAAGGCTGTTTCCAACCGGATGGATTCAAGCAACGAACAGACCGGTGAACAGTACTTGTGTATTTCAGTCCTACTCAACTTTAGGTTACACCAAACCTTGTCCAAAAAGCTTCTTGATACCACATAATATTGACATAGGCTCTTTCGCTCGGTGGTCGATGGGGAATCCGGGAAGCATTGTCAATTCGATGGTTGTCCTTCGGGCTGTTTAAGCCCTTTCTAAAATCAGAAGGTACCTATGTGATTGTGGATAACTCATCTCCATGCGAAGGTATTGCAATGGTAACAGTCGCTTGTACAAAAAGTGTCTCCTGTAAATATGTTTTCTCTTGAGAGATCGTCATATCTTTTCCAGTCCTAAATTTCCCATTCACTCGGCTCTTGCGTACCTCTAGAGAAAAGAATGGAATTATCATGTGTGTAGTAATGAAGCTTTCTTCTGGCAGGGCGACACAGGTACTGCTCAAGCTACCTCGCTCTCATTGTACTGCTTGTTTTGATAAGTTGGAACGTTATTCAATCGGAAATTGGCTACCCATCCACATGCAGTTAGTAACGTCCAGTAAGAACATGTAGTCAACTCCTTTATTAGGTCTGGGATATAGTTCCACTTTTTCCTGTTCCAGGTTTTCTGCCATGGTTGCTTGCAGTTCTTCATTCCAGTTTTTCATCCCCTTCTTTTCAGCACATGATCAAATACCGTTATGTACCGTTCAGTTACGGGAAGCCGAAACACACAGGGAATAATAACAAGGAGACTGGTCCGCCATCAGACGTACTCAATTCGTGAGGCAGTTCGTCTGACGTTCCAGTCTTGCCACCTGAGCCTGTCTCATCCCTGTCCTCACCATGTATATAAGCCGTTCGAGGCAACAATTAACCTTCCGGATCTTAATCTCACGTCGACCGTTTTTTAAGAACGAGCGAGTTCTATCTTTTTGTGTGATCTGTTAACCACCTGTGTCTGTTTTATGGCTTATTTTGTCAGTTTCTCGGATGATTTGTTCTCTAACAGTGCTGTGTTTTTGATGGATACATTGTTTCGTTGTTCTGGATTCATCGAATACTCTGGATCCAGTGTTACCCGCTTATGGTTGGCTGGGAAAACGGAACCAGTTATGCTATGCGTAGACATATTAATCACAGGCCAACATTTTCTTCCGGGTGGTTGGATGGCCATGATAAACTGATCGGGCACCGAGATTTCAAAAGGTTATGTCTATTCATAGATCGGTTATCGTATGAATTACATGTAGCAGGCGCGAACAGTACACAGAAAAACGATTGTCGCTCCCGAAAAATACCATCAATTTTTTATGTAACCTATAGATAGTGATCCTCTCTTTCTGTTTGTAAAAGCGAATCGAGTCCTAGGTACACTGCCTGTAGCGGCTACCATGCACACCGCACCATCTACCTCGTCGGAGGGGCCGTTTCCAACCGGTCTCTGTAAATGGTTTTTTGTTTAGTTGGTCACGCGAATAGAAGTCTTGTGGCTATCTAATGGCACAATTATGCTTCAATTTGAGAATATGATGTTCGAGTTCGTATGCGACGTTTGAGTGAGTGGCCTCGAAATCTGCATTTTAATTGTTTGATGCACACCCCATCCCACAATGAAATTGAATTTTTACGTTTTCCTGGGATAACCAAAGCACAGCAGCTCCCGAAAACTAAACTTCATAAGGTAAAACACAGCCCCGTAAGTAGATGCCGTCTAGTCGCAACACTGACTGGTTGGTGAGGCGTTTCTGAATCTTTCAGGGGTTTGGCGTTTCTCGGGGGTCAGTTGGGTACCTCTTTTTTAATTTTCCCGATAAAAGTTAAATAGGTCTGTTCTGAAAGTTGTCAGACCTGAGGGTTACGCACCTGATTGCAGTCGATTCTGGCGCATCTGCATCCAGAGAAGCATTTCTCATTTAACCGATTGTGTTAACCCTAAAAATAACTTCGTATCCGACTTGATTTCACAAAACCGGCCTGGCATTCTGAACCTACGCAGTTCGTAGCAACACATGAAAAATGGTTGATAATTTCCACCATTCTTGTCTGTATATTTCTAGCGAAGGGATTTTTGTGAAGCGACTGTGATCCTTCGCTCACATTCTCCGTTTCCCCCATGTACAATCGTTCCACGCTCTAGTTGTCCAGCTATTCCTCCTGGATTGCGAAGGGTAACCGAACTCGGTGGCGCAATTTTTCCGTTTAGTGCCGTTAATATAGGGCAAAACTGTATGGAGCCAAAAGTTCGTCCCTAGAACGCCTTGTGTATGTGGTTCCTTCGGCACGTTATCCACTTAGATTGTGATAAAGAAAGTGAAGTTAGCTGGTTCTTTTGTCGAGGGCCCTCAGTGGATGGTGTTGGTAATTTACGTGAAGATGCGCGGTAGGAGACTGCTTGTGATGATACCAGGGCTAGTTGGACCAAGGCGTAGTACTGATCATTATACAATTGTTGACAGGCCTTTGCATGTTTGCATCTTTTAGACTTCCATGACTTTCTGTAGTTCACACTGGCATCGATAACATGCGGTGCGCTTACCTCTGTGTGAACCGCTGATATTGGACAACTAGTAGCAGACCAAAACTGGTTCTACCGCTATCGATCACCGTTCCCGCGTTCGTCGCTAAGTGAGAACACCGTATAATCAACGGTGGAATGACCGGGTCAATACCTGGGGTGCATTTCGAAAATCCAAAGGGACATTCCAGGCTATACAGCTATTGATCCGTCACACTAGTAAATTGATTGTGTAGAGCCTATCTGCAGCTGACTAGTAGTGCTTCCTCAGCCCACTTTTGCGTGAGAGGGTTTCTGGCCTCAGTGATCCTGAAATCATAAAACAATGAATTAACGTCAAACTCTTGTGAGCTGTAAGAGTGGGGCGGCCTCTGTCATTTTGTCGCTACTTTGTCCTCCTGTGGCAAATCTCGTAGTTCGGGCCATTCAATGAGATGAACATTCTCGTCGGCCAACCGGATTGGAAAGACTGCGTGAAAAGGGTTGCGAACCGCTGGCTATGGATGGTTTGGGCAAACTCCACACGGTTGACTGACCTTTCGTTGTTCTGTGAATCAATGGTTGATCTTGGAAACAGCCGCGTGGATACAAATACAACCTTTCAATAACATCACGTTCAGCTACTAGGCTAGTTTTGCACATTGAATTCCTCTTCCCTCCGTCTGCGAAGTAAAATTGTTTGCATTCGTTTCCAGAGCGCCTAGCTACCCAGTTTCCTGAAGAGTTAGATGGCCCATACCATAGGAGAAAACGGCAGTGATATCCATTTCGATATCCCAATTTGGTCATTTTTCTGGATTTGAAAGCTGGTTTCGATTCTGTCGATCGTCAGCAACTTTGGCAGTGTCTGTCGATCAGAAGCGTCCCTTCCAAGTTTAGCTCCCTTATGGAGGCACTGTATGCGAACTTCTGTGGGCGCGTGCGCGTATGCAGGAAGCTCTCGCTGGAGTTCACCACGTCCAGTGGTGTAAGACAAGACTGCCGTTTTCCCGCTTTCCTCTTCAACTTTGTTATTGACATGCTACTTGAACTTTTTCTGAGTACCTCTGAAATCTTGGGTGTCGAAGTGCTACCGCGATGTTCCCTTACGAACTTTGAGTTTGCAGACGATAGTGCTCTTCCTAGTTCAGATCATTCCCAAATGCAAACGATTCTAAACGACCTAAATAACTATGCCGCACGGTTTGGCATGCACTTCACACCTGCAGAGTGTAAAGTGCTGCTACAAGACTGGGTGGGATCAAACCCACTCCTCATGCTTGCAGGTGGGCCGCTCGCTGTGACAGATACATTTGTTGACCTGGGCAGCTTTATAAGTTACGGTAGACTGGCTGGAGATAAGGTTATTTCTCGAATCGAAAAGGTCAGGGCAGCTTTTACCCAACCTCCGAGACCTATGGCGCCGACGTGACGTCGGTTTATTTATCAAGGGGAAAGTTTACACTGCGGCGGTGCGATCCGTACTACTTTATGGACCAGAAACTTGGCCCCTACGCGTAGAGGACATATGGAAGATGTCAGTATTCCATCGTCGGTGTCTCCGGAACATTGGTCAGGTAAGCCAGATGGTCTTGGGGAGAAGGAACTCTCCTGCGATTGATGAATTACTCAAGCTTCATAGGTTGTGCTGGTTGGGACTCCGAATGCCAGAAGACCGTCTGCCTCACAGAGCTCTTTTCTCCAGCCCTGTTCTCAGTGCAAGCGACTGAGTGGTGGACAGTGTATGACCTGGCAGCGAAGTACGAAAACACTAACCAGTAACCTTAGTCGGGTGGGCAACTGCCGCCTCCCTGGATGGGGATCCCTGGATTCATCTCAGCGTTGGTTAATGACACTGGCGGAAATGGCCTAGTCGAACAGCCGATGGCGGTTGTGCATCACAGCTATTGCCTTCAATGCGTAGCTACCCGATTTCTGAACAAACGGAACATGCCTTCGCCTCCAAGGCTTGCTGATCGAAACTGTAGTAGCTGGGATCAATGTGTCTATGTCACACGGTTTATAGCTAATAAATTCATTTGAATTGAATTAGCTAATGACAGCTCTGCGAATGCGTGCACAGTACTGGTGGTCGTGGTAAACAGGATGTCCTCGGCACTTGCTCCAAAGACTTATTGAGGTTTGTTCCATCTGTGGCATAGTTGAAGGTCGCCAACCAGCCAACCCCTAGTATGCATACTGGGCTTCGTTATTTTTCTGCATAACCGCTCAGCAAAAGGCTCGCACAACGTTCCCCTCTCTAAGAAGCTGACTGGAAAAAGTTTAACATCAGGCAACTCATACGTATTTTTACCGCTGAAGATGACTCGTGCTACCTCTTTTTTCTCACATCTGCAAGCTGACATCGCTCCTCAACCTGCCGTGCCTCAGAAGTGCTTTTCATCTCATTTTTCTAGGTTGTATGGGACTATCTCCTTGGTTCGGCAATTGTGAACGGGTGGTAATTCACGGTAAGGTTCAAGCACAGCACGTTTCTCCTTTTCGTTTTTCCGTTCATCCAAAAACCCCATTAATTACACTCATTATTTTTCAAATGTGATTTCTAGTTTACACTTTGCGATACAGGAGTAACGGTTTTTTATACAAATGAAAACTACGGTCCGTCGTCATTTGTTGACTTATTTTTCCGTAGTAACCGTGGTTCTAGAGAAATCGAGGGATCATAATTAAATAGAAGAGTGGTACCAATGGCTGATATCTCTTGTTGTGAACTGAGTGTGGTTTGTTGGGCAACCAGATCGCAACACCTCGACTTAATATACCAGGCTAACTTTTCTAGCACAATCTGAGGTATCAGCTTCCAAATTGGTAGTTTCAAGTTTACGAAACATCATGTCCTCTTTTGGTTCTGCGGTGTACGTACTGCACTCTTGGTAGTTCTACTGGTCTGTAGTCTTTTCTCCCCATGCTTATTCGACTGCTTTTAAAACACCCTTGCGGATCGGAACAATTGACAGCGTCCAGTTACGTTCAGATACACGTGTTAAGAGCTATACAAAAGATTCAGATTTTCTGTTGGAATATTTGATTGAACGAGTAGTCAGACCACTCTGAGAGTTCTTGTCTGTGCGGGACCTCCCTTGAGTTTCGATCACTCCATAGATGGAACCATTTTGGCCCCATCATGTATTAGTAACTATGGTTTCAAAAGAAATGTCTTCATTCAAGGTGGAAAACTGTGCTAGCTATACGGTCGAATCATTGACAGCATCGAACCCAGTATTTGCAGCCACTATCGTTTTTGCTGTACCGCACATTACGTCCTATTACTTTGACATAACGGCCGTTGGTCGAACCTGTGCCGAAAATACGTCTTGAGTCTTGCCACCATCCGAATTCCAGTGAAAGGAAGAAGACCTTCGCTGCGGAGTTACTTATTCGAAAATGCCAACTGACCGGTTACAGACCATTGAACAGGGAAGCAAAACTCTAATCTGCATCTTAGTTACAAAAACTGGACACAGATCTTCTCCCGAACGAGTCTTCCTAGAGATTCGTTGCCTCCACTCATTCGTCTATCAAATCCAAGCAAATGTTACAAAGTGGCCCCACGAATTCCGCAACAGAATTCCCTTTTTCAGTCGACGCAAAGCCAAATTCTACGAACAACACATACTACTCGCGTGCCTCCCGATCAGTAGTATCACCGTTACACACCTCCACCCCTTAAAGCTCGTTCGCATGCCATCGATTTTTATTTCCCTCTGTCAGGTCGGCTTCGGCAGCGGGTCTATTCGGCCGCTCTTCAGGTGTATCATGCCACTTGCAAAGCTGCGTCCCATTCACTACTTTCGATCCCCGACCATCTTGAATGGCATAGACGTTCCCCCGGCGGTCGGTGACTACAAACGGCCCTTGCCATCGGCTGCCTAGCTTCCGCGACCCCAGTCCA